GGCCAAACTTACTGACCCTCTGAATCCCATTTGACAATCTTCAGAAGTTCGAGAGCCGGGGGGTGCCTGCCAGGGTTCAGGGCTTCTGCCCCACAGGAGGCATCTGCGGGTCTCGGGGCTTCAGTCCCGCTCCTGCTGAAGCCCCGAGATCTGGCAGGCGCACCCCACAGGGCTGAAGCCCTGAGATCCCCCCACCCTGCTGGGTAGAAACCTGTACCCCACCACCCTGCTGCAAGGCAGAAGTCCCGAACTCTGTCTCTTCCCCTCCCCCCAGTCTGGTAGGTGGAGGGGGGGGGGAGGGAGTAGAGGGGGTTCCGGGAGCTGCACTTTAACTGTAAAAGAGCCATATGTGGCTCACGAGCCGCAGTGTGGCCACCCCTGAGCTAAGCATTCATTTTAAAAATTGCTAATTTTTGATTGTAATGCCAGGATACAAATCAATGCAGTATTGTCTTGAGTCTGCAGGCTGAAAATGAGGTACAGATGTCTCAATTTCATTCAGTTTAACTGGTTGTCAGAAGATCATAATCGGATTCTAAGTTCAACATAGTTAACTTCTTCATGTACTTTTTCATGTCATGTTTTCCTATAGGAGAAACACCTAGCTCTAATGGTCTTTATCCATTAAGCATGGACATACCTGTCACATCTTTGATTCCTTTTATTTGAAAGATCTTTCTTTAGGAAGAGGTTTCAAATTTTGAATGTATAAATATTTATTTATTTGGAGGCGTTACTGTGCTTAAAAACTAAGGTAAAATGATATTCTGCTGTATGTCATCAGTTTCTTTAAAAAACTCTCATGGGACTCTGCGAACTTGTGTACAGAATTGTATAAACTATATTCAGAAACATTTATTCCATCTCTAGTCTGTCTGCATGCCAGTGCAGGCCTAAAAAAAAAAGTACACTCAGTGGACTCAGGTGTGGCTTTGACCCCATGACCTCTTGCAGCCTAATCAAGGATCGTGCCCCTAAACCTACAAACTGGATAAGTGTGGTCCAAAAGCAGCAATCAGTCTCTTCTGTTGGGTATTGCCTCCCCCCTTTACTGCTGTCAGGAATTCACTCCCAGCTCCTCAGTCTCCTTTAGCCACATGGCCTGGGGAAGAGCCTGTGGTGATCTCCTTCCCTCCAAGTGGGGTCCCTTAGCTGTCATATTCTGTGGGTCTTCGGAGGTGGCTCCCTTCTGCCTCCTAGCAGCATCTACCGTCATTTACCCTAAATCGGCAGGACCCAGCTCTGCTGGTATGTGCAGGGGCTCAGGGAGGGCGAGGCATCTTAGGCCTTGTCTAAGTTTTGTAACATTTTCAAGCTGTCACCTGGCAAACACACAACTAAGGAGATACAGAACGCTCCATGTAACCTTTACAACTTAAGGGGGAAAGGAGACCACATGAAATGTTATGACAATATTATTGTCTTGGTAAAAACTTCTGCTTTTATAAAAAGCCTAAACTAGCAACTTATCCTTTCTCATAAGAGCACAGAGGTGAGCAGCGTTAACATAAATCACATTGAATGACTGTGAAAAGTATTCAAAAGCATAACGAATGGTCGCGTCAACAACGTATCAGAATTTCACTCCAATTCATACTAAATAGTATAAGAGAAGGATGCATTTTACAAATGGGTTTAATTCTTTGCTGAATAGTGACTCACTACTGGTGTGTCTACGTGATAAGGTATCATAGTGCACAGTTACAAGGGAAGGGGTATAGATTTGCTAGGGGAACATTAATTGTGAATTTCCTGACTCTTGTGGATTTAATTTCAATCCTAATTCTGCCTTGGCATAAACTTCATCTTCTTTCAGTGGTAACATGGGATGCCTATCATGAAGTCTTTCTGGCATTGGTGCTTTGACATATGAAATGTGCTGTATTTTGTGCAGATGTTGTTTGCTCTTCTAGAAATTCATGTTTGAATCAATGCAGTCTTTTAGTTCCTGGCTTTTGTCATATCAATTTTTAATTTGTGTAATTAATAAAAATAAACTGCATCTTCCACAGCTATCAGGCCAACGTCCTTCTGTTCTTGCTGCTTGTTTGGCCGCAGCAAAATCAGACAACACAGAATGGCCTGTCAGCAAAGGAGGTAGTCCAGGGACTCTGAGCTGGCCTGTTGAATATTGGCATGAAATTTGGGGAGATGTAAATGTTGCAACAAATGACATACCGTACAAATATAGCACCGCATTTGCCAACTTAGGGTATTATAGACTGCAAAATTACACTGTTTGTGGCCAGCTCTGCCATGAGTTCAGTGTAATTGAAATGTAAATAGATCTTAATTTGTATGGGATTTGTTTCTGCCACTAATTCCATGTTACTCTTTGCAATATGCTCTTGTAACCCTGTTACAATCATCTCATGAGAATTGGTTTCTTAATTAAAGCCAAGAAAAAGTACCAATGTTTTTTTCTTAATGACACTAATTTATGAAGAAGTTAGGATTTAGCTTTAGGTTATTTTTTTTCCAGTTCAGAAAAACATAATTAGGTTTTTAAAAGCATGCTTTTATATGTAGTTCAGAAAATGATTTTATCGTTATTTTCTTTCTAATGGACAAGTTGGGATGGAAATACTGTTGCTTAACATAGAAGGCAATTAGCACATATTATGGAGTTTGGAGTAGATATACTAAATAGTAATTTGGAATGATGAAGGGTAACCGCCTAGCAGCTTGTTAGTTTGGTACATCTCTGCCATCTCCTATAAACTCATGAGCTGTCTTTTGTGCTTGGAGTGCATCTCTTCAGAGACAAAATAATCAAAAGAACCAGTGTTGCGGGATAAATATGCTTTTTTGGACAGGTAGGGGATGGGGGAAGGGGTATTTAAGCATAAATTTAGTGCTAAGGAAAGGTGCCAGATGCATGGCATTACTAATCAAAGTTTGTTAGCCAAACAATAGCTTGAAAACTCCTCTCTCACCAACAGAGGTGAATACAATGAATACCTGTTACCATTCACTAGGCTTTGCCCCCTCTGCCAGCTTACTGAACCCTTTCGTCTCATCCTCCCATCTGCACCTGTTTGTTTTCATATGGTTCTCTATAGCCTCCAAGTGTGCCTGGCCTTTTTGCCCTATTTACCTATCGGTACATATACCTCTCTGGATCTGACCCACTCACCTTAAGTATACAAGTTCCTGTTTCCAAAACTGTCTTTGAAAACTCTCATTTTGGCCACGAACCATAGAACCCTGCCTTCGTGACTTACCTCATTCTTCACCACACTAACTTTAAACCTAAATTTAAAAATCAAAGTAGGAACTTGAAGCATGTCAAAGTTACTGCTCAGGTACTGCTTGCTATGCTTTTATGCTGCACCCTTTTCTCCTTCCTTACCACTAGTAAAGTTAGGCAGTTGGTGGTCTGATCTGGAATAGGTTTTGAATGTACAGTGTTGAGGGAGATCAAAGAAGCAACTAAATCTGTGAAATGATAATGGGAAATGTCAATTACCAGCATCCAAACATCACAACAGGGCAAGGTTTAGGGAAATGGTTGCTTGACTTACTAGAGTACTTCTTGGAATACCTAGTCCTAAAGCACACAAGAGGAAAGGTTGTTTTTTTTTTTTTACTCCTAACTGAGATACAGGAATTGGTTAAAAAAGTAATTGTAGCCTTACAGCTATTAGTGATTATAATTTAAGTACTGCATCCTCAGGGAGGAATTTCATATAAAAAATAAACCTGTCACTATGCACTTAACTTTAGAAAGGGAGATTGGGGGGGGGGGGGGGGGGCAGGGGAGAAAAAAAAAAAGGCCCTGAAGTAAAAACTTAGGAAAGTAAAATCCTTAGCCTACAATAGATATGAAGACTGTGCATATCCCTAAACTGAAAAGGAAACAGGAAGGTAAAAGAGATGTGGTTAATTGTCAGAGATGAAGAGAGTATTCAAGCCAAACCAGTATTCTTCTGAAAATGTAAATGCAACATTAGTGAAACTAATAAAAATAACACAAACTATGGCAGATGAAATATATACATATGTCTATTTTATGAAGACAGGGATTTTTGAAGAGTAAATAGCCACAGAGAGAAACAGTGCATTTTTTAAATGTGTGAAGCAGAAAGCTTGCAAAAGAATGAGTAGGTCAACTGGACTATCAGAGAGTAAAAAAAGAAATGGAGACAGACAAGGCCATAGCAGAGAAGCTGAATTTTCTCGGCATCAGTTGCCTTTCCACAGAAGGTATCTATTCTGTCAGGTAATAAAATTTGAGATGTTGTCAACACAGGTGGTATTGGAGCAATTTGGCCTCCTGTAGTCAATTAGAATTCTTTGTGTCAGCAAACTAGGTGGTCAGATCAGGAAAAAGGTATCCAACCAGATAATTTTTTAAAGTAAAAATTGCATTGACTTAGCTGACGCTTTTGTCAAATTCTTTTTACACTTGTTAATTGCCAGTCTTGCGCTAACAAGTTAAAGGACAAGAGACACATCTGAGCTGAGTAAGCAGAACTAAAATTGGCTGCAATACAAATCAGATGTCTAATAAGCTGTATAGTGATCATCCTCCTGGTGGATCTGGGGTGCACATGCTGAGCTAGAACTCCATCTGGCAGACTATTTAATGATTGACACATACGGATCCCATTGGCATGAAATTGGTGCTTAGCCAGCAACATTTTTGGAAGAGCCCATACATTTAAAAAAAAAAAAAAACCGTCTCTTGAAACAAACATTTTTTTAGCTGTGTATCTCTGGTAACTTTTGTTTCTACCTCAGCATTAGAATTTTTAAAATATTGCACTGAATTCTGTAATAAAAATGTACTTGGGGTGGGGAAGCCATAAACTAATTGCAGAATCCATTACCTTCATGATGTGACAACTAGACATTTAACTTCAAGTGGTATTTTGTTTTGAATGTATATAGTCTACTTCAGTTTTTCCCCCCCACAGATGTAAACTGCAGTAATAATACAGAACAGTGTGTCTGGGGTATGACTCACTCAGGTGCGTTTATTTTTTGTATTTGCATAGAGTGAAGATAGTCCCAGTCCTAAGAGACAACGCCTTTCTCATTCAGTCTTTGACTATACAGCAGCATCACCAGCCCCATCACCACCAATGCGACCATGGGAGATGACATCAAATAGGCAGCCTCCTTCAGCTCGACCCAACCAACATCACTTCTCAGGGGAACGATGCAACACACCTGCACGCAACAGGAGGAGGTAAATGGATTAGTCAGATTGTGGAGTGGTTTCTTGCTAGGTTGTCTGCTGATTCAGGCGAGACCTTTTTCAAGGCAGCAGTGATTCATTAGCATTAGAAATGAAGTATTCCTAGCAGAAGACTCCTAGTTATACAAGACTATATGATAAATATTAATTTTGAAAGCTTTGTTGATAAACATTTGCTATTATCGCTGCTGAAAACTGGTATTGGAAGTAATTCATGAGGTCAGTGTACTGTCTTCCTATAATTTCGTGTGGACATGTACAGTTGGAGAGGGTGGCTGCTCCTTACCATTTTCAGTTAAAATCCGTTTATTGCTCTAATGCTGTACATTACATTAGTGTGTTGTACACATAGACAATGTGTCAGAAAATCAACCAGAAACTAAAGATTCCTATTTCTGGACAGGCTACTACTAGTAGTAGTAGACTAATTATTTTTATAGTGCAATAAACGTGCATGACACTTACAACTTTGTCCTTTCGTAATAAACGTACAATCTAATTTCAAATGAGAATGAATAAAACTGACAAGGTTGATGCAAGTAGTATCATGTGATTGCTTAGATGTGTGGTGCACGTATTGCAAGGGTTTACATTTTTATCTTAGTTTAGTTTGGGGCTATGGTTCGTAAGCCTCTGTCAGTTGGCATTCTGTTAGTTTATTGAAGCTGTAGCACATTGTTACTTACTGTTAAAGAAGTCTTTAGGGTCACAAATCTTGGAAGCTTTGGGTCACAACTTTCAAAATTATATTTGTTTTCATACAACCAGCAGTCAAAACTAATAATGCGAGTCAGTGAGTTGATTTCTTGGATTATTGCATGGAGAGAGGCAACGTGGTCCAGTGGATAGGCAATTGTCCTATGACTCAAGAGACCTGTATTTTATTGTCAGCTCTTCAACTGTGAATCTCTGTTTTGCCCTCTTATCCTCTGTCTTGTCTGTTTAGACTAACCTCCTCAGGACAGGAACTCTCTGTACAGTGCCTAGCACAGTGGGCCTCGAACTTGCATGGGGTTTCCAGGCACCATCGTAATACAAATAAAAAGTAGATTACTAGTAAAATAAGCTCAATAGGCTTTTACATAATTCTGTTTAAAAGTGAAATTAATTTGCCCTTCTAATGAACTTGCTTCAAGATTTATGAGGTTTAGTCTCTGTCATTACGTATATCCATTAATCTGCTGCCCATGTAACAAAACCTGTGCATGCTCTGACTGGAGACTGTTTTGAAGCTGTTGGTCACCAAATGGCTAGCAAATAAATCAGTACTGCCAACACCAAGCATTTTAAAAAAAGCTAGACCCCAGAAAATCTTGATTCAAAATAAGCTTTGTTTGTTAGTCTGCCTTCTTCCCTCTACAGGCTCAAAAATCAGCTGTCATCCCAATTTGTGATTATTTAGGTTTGACATTCACCCTTATGTACACAGTGGACGCAAGGGTGGACTTCTCTCAGCTGCAGGGAAAGTGTCTGCATGGTTTGCCCTCTACTATTTGGGAAGATGGCGCTGCTGTTTTTTCCCCTTTCGTCCTTTCCCTGCCACACTCCAGCTTCCATCCCCATTCTTCCTGACTCCCCTGATGTATAACACACCACCTTCCCTCTGCCTTCTCCTCAGTCTTGTTACCCTCATGTTCCTTCGCATCAGCTCCATGGCAGTAGTTCTGGTACTCTGCTCCCTGATTGAGAACATTAAAAAAGTTACTGGGGGGGGGAGTACTTATGTTGAACAGCTAAATACAGTGAACAGGAATCTCCAGTTACAGACAGCTGTGATTGTTGTTACTGGCTAAGAATTGCATGCATCTGGTTATATTTATTTGTTGCTCCGTTTCCCCAACCTTGTTTCATTTGTTTGGTCCACAAGTTATGCCTTGTCTTTTAAGTTTTTAGAGACAGACTGTCATTTACTATTTTTGTGTATTACCCAGCACAATGGGGCCCAAACTGGTTGAGGCCTATGAGCGCTACTGCAATATGAATGTTAAGTGCAGGTTGTGACTACTTTGCATGAGGCATTTCCAATAATTCCAAGTTAGTCATCTGATAGAGCTACACATGGGGAGGTTATCTCAGAGTTACACCTAAGGAAAGGGACATTTCTTTGCAATTCTGGCATGTATCTGATCACCTCAGAGAAGTCTGTTTGCATCAAGTTCTGTTTTTTCCAGAGTACTATGTTCTGTGCTGCCCATAAATCAGTATATAGAAAAGTGCCCAAAAAGTGTTGACAGTTTTTGTTTTCGTTATGCCTTGTTTCCTTCTGGGTAATTAACAGAAGTAAAGCTTGACTACTGGGACTACTTGTGGAAAGGTAAAGGCAGAACTGAAGCTAAAAAAGCTACTGTGTCTAAAGATAAATGGCAGGGGAAACTAGGGCATCTCTACTTGTTTAGTTTTTTCAAAATGTTGAAACCGCCGTCAGTGACTTTTACCACTCCCAAGTCCTTCCTTCATATGACGTTGCAGCTTTGCACCGATGTTAGCTGAAGATTATAGATATAAATCAGACAATTTAAGCTTCATATCTGCTACTGTAAAGGTGTTTATAAAGAAAGTTTAAATCTGAATTCACTAAAACCGAAATCTTGCTGCCTGCATTATTAAATAAAATATCTGCAGTAGTAAAGTTACAAAAATTATATAGGTCTGTCTTCTCTAATGATGTACAACCTTGAACAAGTGGACCTTAGTAGTAATGCAATTTTTAGACATTTAAAAGCAGTCACTAACATAAAGCATACTTGAATACCTTGGGCAAGTTGATTTATGTGTAACTGACTGTGACATAGTACTGAATGTACACAACCTTAAAGCTAGATTTGTATCTGTGCAGTTTTATTTGATTGTCTTGTGTGATTATGGAAAGCACTGGGGGTAAATCTTTTCGGATGACACCAATAATAGTTATGTCAGCATAACTTTATTAGTAGTTATGCAAAAATTATCAAACACTATAATAGATTCCTAAAATGGAGGAATACAAGGGAAACATGTACCTGCTTATAAGGCTTAAATCAGCAAAGCTCTCCTATAATATAACACAAGTAATTATAAGCGGGGTTGGTAACAACACTTGTTGTTAAGATTGCCTGACAGTTCCCATTATGAGACACTGTTTTCAATTGCTTATAACTTTGCTAAACTTTAATGATTTGAGCTGAAATTTTCTATCCTGGGTGCGTTTAGCTCAGGATGATTTTTTGAGGTGGGGGGAATTTCAACCAAAACAGTTTCAGCTTTTTTTGAGAATGAGGTGAGAGGAAAAAATGTTGTTTTGCCCATGTTAAAACATTCTGGTGTCTTTTTCTTTGAGGAAAAAGTGCCCCCATGCTTTGCAGCAGAGACTTGAAATTTGGCCAGAGGGTGGCCTATGTCAAATTTGCCTTTTCCTGTTCTTGTGATAATCTGCCCAAATTTGGCCAAATTATAAGACTTGGAAAAATTGCAGTTTGCGTATGCTCTGTAGAGACTTGCTAGCGCGCAGCTATTCCCCAAAGATTTCGTCTGCAATGGGCGTGCTCCAGAGACCAGGCAAGTCACTTAAACTAAACTTCTTACAGGTAGTCATTAATTGCTCATTTTCTGAGTGCTGACTTCAGACCCTGGCACCTGATTAGCAGAAGGCCTGAGCACTCTCAGTTGCAAATAAAGTCAATAGGAGCTGTACTTTGATCACCGAAAGAGCTATGTTATGCTCCGTAATCCGGTTTTAGGTGTCTCAAATTGGGCATCCAAAATGAGTGGATACTTTTTATATTAATCTCTGTCACAGTTCCCCTCTGTAAAATGGGGATAATACCTCCACCTTAGCTCACAAGGGTGGTGTGAAAATAAACGAAAGTTTGTGAAGCATTCAGCTACTACATTAAGTGCCAGAGAAAAAGCCCATGAAGAAATTAATAATTCTATCTTCAGAGCAGGGTATGAATAGTGTGCACTAAATAAGGCCTGAGGCCACACACTGAATAATGAGGAGAAAACAAAATATTGAATAGCTGCTCATTTAGTGAGCAACATCCATTCTGTGTGCTGAATGAGTCACACGGTCCTTTGGGAAAAAAAGTGTGTGATCATATCCTTGTAGACTGTATTCTCATGCATACGTACAAGATTGCACAAGCAACCTTAATACTGGCATTTTCTAACTTTTGAGTGCTTGACTTGGCAACCTTCATGTTCTTTTAATGTATCTTGTGATTACAATATCTGTATAAAAGTGCTTATATTAATTTAGCTTATGCTGGTTCTCCTGATTGGCATATTTTGGTATAATCACTGTATCCTGAAATAATTGCATCTATACTGAGGCTCTTATCAGTATACCACTGTCTGTTTAAAAAACAAAATTACATCCCTAGCCGACATAACAATGTTGATGGAACTGTCTAGTATAGACTTGTCCTCAGTATTGGATTATGTATGATATTGTTTAAGAAAGAGGCCTGTGGCAATTTGTGTGACGTCTTCCCTTTTAATGTGTTCCCAGTCCTCCTGTTAGACGCCAGAGAGCGAGAAGGGATCGGCTGTCTCGACACAATTCCATTAGTCAAGACGAAAACTATCACCATCTCTCCTATGGACAGCAACAAGCAATAGAAGAGCCCCGAGCCTTCCACCCACCGAATGTATCCCCCCGTATGTTGCACCCAGCCGCTCATCCGCCACAGCAGAATGCAGTGATGGTCGACATTCATGAACAGGTATGAGAATGTTGGGCTGAATGTGCTAAGGACACTGCATTTCTCTAAAACTTTCAAAAACTCCGAGTAGTTGGCATTGAAAATAGAACACTGTGGTAACTACTGCTGGCAGTCTGTCGTGGCAGTTTCTTTCAAGGGTCATCATGGTGCACTAGTAACATACAGCAGTGAAAATATCATAAAATATTGGTTATAAAAAAAAAACAAATAAAGCCTAACAGAGAGTGAAAGTTACCGATTTGGCCAGGGCAGCCATCAGCACAGTTCCAAAGGCCTTCAGATCACACTTTTGAAACATAATTTTTCTGCTTCTGAAGTGAATTTAGTTTGAGGGGGGATGTGGTGTAGTTATTAAGTAGGCATTCATAAACGCTGAAATAAAATACATATCTTTAGCTCTAGGTGCTTTTACAGGATTAAAGTAGACAATATAAAAATAGAATTCACAATGCATATAATTGACTGCCTTCATGTGGATAGAATCTAATAAACTCCTGTTTTCAGCCCCAAATCTGTTACTCTGACTCTCAGCCCACTCCCTCCCCAAATGCCCCAGAAAGAAGTTAATCTTGGCAGCATATCCTAAAAGTGAAGTTTTGGATTGAGACACCAAGAGGTGGAGCAGTTTCCAGAATCAAGGACCCTTTGGAGAAGATGTCCCACTAGCCTAGCCCCACCCTATTCACATCAGAGGGCCTATAGCCCAAGCGCATTTGTTGACTGCAACTACATAGCATCACATGGGGAGGGAGTTTGCCTGTCAGGTAGCCAGGTCACAAACTGTTTAGAGCTTTACCTTAAAATTAACACGTTAAAACCCTGCCTGTAAACTAATGTGGTCAGTGCAGATAAGGGATCACTGTGCAAAGTTCTCCTCAGTAAGCAGACATCTACATTGTGCACCTGTGAACTTCGGGTGTACAAGTTTAAGCTAACAGTCCTTCTGGCCTTCTCCGAATTTTCCCTTATGTCTGATAAGTGATCAACTTGCTGGAGCACCTCAAAATGAACACCACATTTGTCCTCCCACTCCGGATGATGAGATTACATCAGGGCATGTCTGGGGGAAAACAGGTCCCACAGCACTGCTTCTGTGCCCTCTCGGCATCTTCTATAACCAGTGTGTCAGTGTTGCCAAGGTCTAGTCGCCATGGTTACTGGTGGGTCCTTCGGGCTGGTCCTTGACACTGACCCTACTTCAGGGAAGGGATCACTTCCTCCTGGATGCCATGGTTGGTCTGCTCCATGAGAGAAGTAGTCCTCTCCTGACTCACATCTGGCACGGCCATCAGTGCCTAGCAGTCATTGCCTAGGAACCTCTGCTAACCCTGCTACAAAAGGTCTGCCGTGGTGCCCGAGCTAAGTCAAAGGCCACTTGGACTATCTCCCCATAATGTTTTCATTGTAGAGGTATGCAAGACTGTCATCTGTATAGTAATACTTGTTTGGTTCTGTAGCAGATCAGGAGAGCAGTTGTCTTTCATTTATATTAGGGCTGTCAATTAATAGTGGTTAACTCAAGCAATTAACTCAAAACAAATTAACTCGATTAAAAAAATTAATCGCATCTTTAATTGCACTGTTAAACAATAATAGAATACCCATTTAAATTTATTATACATATTTTTGGTTGGTTTTTCTACATTTTCAAATATATTGATTTTCAATTATGCTAACGAAGCATGAAAGGGCATACAAATGTTTAGCATATCTGGCATGTAAATACCTTGCAATGCTGGCTATAACAGTGCCATGTGAACTCCTGTTCTCGCTTTCAAGTGACGTAAATAAGAAGTAGGCAGCAGTATCTCCCCTAAATGTAAACACACTTGTTTGTCTTAGCGATTAGCTGAACAAGAAATAGGACTGAGTGGACTTGTAGGCTCTGAAGTTCTACATTGATTTATTTTTGAGTTCAGTTATATAAAAAAAAAATCTACATTTGTAAATTGCACTTTCACAATAGAGATTGCACTAACTTGTATGAGATGAATTGAAAAATACTATTTCTTTGTTTCTTTTTTACAGTGCAACGATTTGTAATAAAAAATATGAAGTGAGCACTGTACACTTTGTATTCTGTGTTGATTGAAATCAATATATTTGGAAAATGTAGAAAACATCCAAAAATATTTAAATGGTATTCTATTCTTGTTTAACATTGCAATTAAAACTGGGATTAATTGCGATTATTTTTTTAATTTTGCAATTAATCGCAATCCATTTTTAAAATAATTTGACAGCCCTAATTTGTATTTATTTCCTGCTTGTTTGTTTGTTCCTGCTTGTTAATTCCCCAAGAGTGGGATCTAGGCAAGCAATTCATGAAGGAAGAAGGGTTTCTCTAGATAATTGCCTTTTATGGATCCACACTCCTTGTCTCTAATTCTTTGGAGTCTTTACTGGAGATTTCTGATATAGTATAAGAAACCAAGCAGTGTTTGGGGCCCTCTGTCTTTTAGTCCCTCGGGTTTGAATGTTGAGTTCTAGTAGATGTTGCTAATTCCCAGCCCTGGGCATTTTCAGACCAGGAGTGTGGGTCCTTAGTGGCTGTTACCTGTAATTGTGGTGCTTTGAGGCATGTAACCTTTCCCTTCCTAGCTTTTAAATTAGCCTTTGGTTTTATCCACTGTTCTGTTAAGTTTATTTTAGAGACATCTCTTGAGCTTTCACCTTAGAGTGGGAATATGCAAAGATGGTTATCTTGGGAGAAAAAAATTATCTGAATTTTTTTCTTCGATATCTCTGTGGAAAATCATTTAGCCTCTCTTCCCATCAGAGTTTGGAAGACTGTTTAGCTACTTGTACATTTTTCCTTCTGATTTTAATTGGCTTTTATGTGGGAGTTACTACCTCCTTTTTGAAAGGAACTAATCTGAACACATGAGGGGGGCCCTACAGAATCTGAGATGTACTGTTTTTGTCTTGGAGGATTTAATGTTTTGAGTTGAGAGTTCCCTCCCTGGCGTTGTTCAGGAAGCACTGATGTAAGAGCAGTAATCTATTGAGGAGGATATTTTTTAAGAACAGGAATTACAGGTTTGTAACTTTTTTATACTGTCAGTGTAAAATGTGATTTTTCTGGTATTTAGGTGAAAGTTTGCTATTTTTAAATGTCAAACCATAACTGTTCAGAACCCTCTGAATTGTGTAAATTAACAAAATTACTGAAAATTGTTTGTTTCAATGCAGATCCACCAGGGCACAGTCCCTGTCTCATACACAGTAACAACGGTGGCACCACATGGGATTCCGCTCTGCACAGGCCAGCACATACCAGCTTGTAACACACAGCAGGTCCCAGGATGTTCTGTGGTTTTCAGTGGACAGCACCTTCCCGTCTGCAGTGTGCCTCCTCCAGTAAGTAGGTTTATCTAATGACACAGGCTTTCATCTCCAGTGTGTGGGGTGGGCAGCCTGGAGCTTCACAGCTAATGTGGTTTTGCTGTTTGCATCAGAGAAATCCATTCTTCACTGGGGCAAAGTGTGGGTGACCTTTTAGCTTGATGCAGGGTTGCGTGTTTTATGTTTATGTACTTTTTTTCCATAGTGGTGTAGTATTTTCTTAACATGTTTTAACTAAAGTCAGAACTAGCTTAGGCTCCAGTCTCTGGACACACATCCATAGCTTCACAAAACAAGTTCAGAAATTTGGAGGAAAGGGTTTTTAAAGTTAATCAAATAGTAGGAAGCCCACTAAAATAATTGACTAGGTGTAAGAGACCCCTTCCCCTCAGAGGGTGTGCGCGCATATATAAAATCAGCCCTTCCAGCTACATCTCTAAAATCAATAATTTGTGTAAATACTAGCAAGATTTTAAAAAAAAGACTAACACAGGCCAAAAGATAGCACAACTATTTGGAAACACATTAACACAGAAACTGTCAAATCATCCTTGTTTATCTAATAACCGTGTTTCTCCCACATTGCTGGGAGCAGAATAACTGACTTGCCGAGCTAACTCTTTCCTGTCTCAGACCTGAAATGGTACAAAGAGTTCGTCCAGATACTAGATGGGGATAATACCATCCAGCTACATTACATGCATACCACCTTGCTGTCAGAGAGAGAATTATCATTATGGAAGTGCTGACAGTGCACTCAGTATTGTACAAGTAACAAATTAAGCCACTCCCTGAGGAGCTCACACAATCCAGAAATCCAGAAAACTGCCTTTTCATGTGTGTTTTAAATAAGGCGATAATGGAAAGTAACACATGTTGTGTCTACACCCCAGTAATCATTTGGAACTTATAGACTGGAAAAAATCTGTGTGTGCAGGGCTGCATTTCTCTCAGTACCAATTCTTCTGTACCAGTCACACTACTGAGCGGTTCTCCAGCCCCCACTTCTGTACTGATTCAATTTTTTTTTCTATATAGTTAACTTGGCTTTGTTTTGCAGTTCTAGAAGTTATGAAAATAGGGTGACTTAACGTCGTGGTTTAGGTGTGAACTAACATTGTGTTAAGAACCTTAATTTCCTGAGTAAAGCACTTTTCTGACTTCAGAGTTAATTTCTCAACTTTAACAATGCATAAATAAACCTTTTAATATGTAATATTTATATGAAGTGTATATGCAGAAGCATATCAGTCCATTTTGCAACATTTTGTTAACAAATGAACGTTGACCGCCCCAATTCACACCAGCATAACTTTTTTTTTTCCTTCTTTTTCAAGCAGAAGATTCATTCCCTTTCCCGCTCCTGTTTACTTCAGGGGCTTTTTGAGCAGTGAAAATTGCTCATATAACTTGTAAAAAATTATGGGCTTGATTCTCATTTACACTAAAGATACTCTGCATTGTAATTACATTCACAGCTATTTCAAGACCCTTTACACTGCCAGAGCAATCTATATCAGAAGCTGCTGATGCATCTAAGTTGATGGACCAGGGACAGCAGTTTTAATTCACTTTGTCCAGACCCCATTCACTCCCCGTTGGATATCTTCTTCAGCTTTCTGGCATCCTGCAGTCTAAGATGCCTGTTGGTAGCACTTCCTCTTCATAGTTGTTTCTTTGCTGCAGCACCTCAATCCTGTGCAGGGAGAGGGAGCTGTCAAAATTGAAGTGATGTTACATGGTCAGAGTGCCAGGGAAGCAGAGAGGAAGAACTCTCCTGTCTATATAGATTGTCACAGTTTTAAGAGCTGTGGATCTTTAATGCTCAGTACCCTTCAGTGGAGCCACATCTAGCTCACAGAAGTGCGTGACTGTGACAATGAAACAGTGGTTTGAACAGTGAACTCCTGCGAAAGGGACAGTCTCACATGGCCCCGAAAGTGCTAAGGAGCAACAGATGAAATTGGAAAAGGAGTATCTGTGCAGAGCAACCCGAAGAACTGATTGGAGGTGCACCCACCTATCTACCCTCCTAATGAAGCATTTCTGGCTTTATGCAGTCTCGTAAAATCTGTGAAACAGCAGAGGACAAAGGGGGGAAAGTCCAGTTCGAAAGCAACTACTACAATTAAAACTGCAGAGGAATTAGTTTTAAAGGAACCCTCCAGAATGTTTCAAAAACTGAGCTGGGAGAGCACAGAGAAGAAAATCTTTCATTGAAAAATGCTCAGAGTGGTGTAATCTGATTGGGGAAGCAGCTCTATAGTTCCAGTGCACACATGGGTGGAAGATAATTATATGGGTTTGGAACCATCTTCACTTAAACTGATTTCTGCCTTATCCATGACATTTTGTTACAATACTATTTTATATTCAAAACATAACAAGTTGGCCCATAAAACAGTCATAAAATACAGTTTAATCTGCTCATGGAAGGAGATAACACATCAATTTCATCGTGTATATTCAGTTCAGTGAAATCACTATATTAAAAGAATGTTACATTTGCAGGGAAAAATGAATGTGAGGAAATAGTCTGCCCATCTTCAGCCCTGCCCTCTTGTGCTCATACATTACAGTAATTTTTAATCACATGATAGCATGATATTATTTCCACAAGACCTCTCTTGCTCAGTGCATATATCTGTGACCAATCAAAACTGATTTTTCACCTGATCATCAAAATGTGTTGTCTGTCTCAAATTTCAGCTTTCTAGGTCCACTTATAGATATTAGAACTGTTCCCAAAAAAGGTTGTTGGTTTTTTTTTGTTTTTTAGTGTTAAGTTGGCTTTTCATTGCCTTCATCTAAGAAATGACAGAACCATGTTTGCATACATTTTTTTTAAAAATCACCTTTGGGCAAAGATGAGATCTGGAAAATTTTCAGCCTGTAAAATGAAAGCTTGACAGCTTATGCAAGGCATTTGACTTGGCACCACGTGGCATTTTGATTAAAAAAAAAAAGAAGAAGAAAAGAAAATGATGCAAAGTTAACATAGCACACATTAAATGGATTAAAAACGGGCTAACTGAAAGATCTCAAAATGCAGTGCAAACAGGGAATCCTAGAGAGCGTGTGATGTTTCTAGTGAGGACCTGCAGGAATCGGTTCATCGCCCTACACTATTTAATACTTTTATCAATGACCTAGAAGAAAACATAAAATCATTATTGAAAGTTTAAAGTGGTAAATAATGAAGAGGACAGGTCACTGATACAAAGCGATCTGGATCGCTCGGTAAGCTAGGCGCAAGCAAACAATGTGCCTTTTCATATGGCCAAATTAAATGTATACATCAAGGAACAAAGAATTCAGGCCTATACTTACTACAGGGCTGAAGATTTTATCCTGGGAAGCAGGTGACTCTGACAAAGACTTGGGGGGTCACGGTGGATAATCTGCTGAACATGAGTTTAAGTGCAATGCAATGGCCAAAGGGGCTTATGTGATCCTTGCATGTATAAACAGGGGAATCTCAGGTAAGAGTATCATATCAACGGCCGACAGACCAGGTACTGACGGTACTAAGAAACCCAGAGCTCCTACGCAGTTGAGCTCCGCCACAGGCGTTAAGGGGAAAGTGAAACCCCATGCCACAGCACCAGCAAGCAAACCATTGGTACTGAGCATTCCAGCGCTAATGCTGCCACCTACTGCTGGCACTATGCATGCCAGCCACACACCTGCGCCGATAAACACACTCCAGCACACGGTACCGAGCTCCACCATCCCACCGATACTGAGACCGGGCACATGACAGCAGTTCCTGTGTCACATAGACTTATCTGTCTCGGTACTGCAGTCTCCTCTCCTCGGCACTAACGGTACCATGGTACATGCGGTACTTAGCCAACCCAGCTCTCCACAGCTTTCACCACAATTCTCTAGTGGGGAGGACAAGGGAGAGAAGGATATAGGAATGCTGTGGCAAGTATCCTCTCCTGTGGCTACTCCTCCCACACAAGCCCCACCAAGCATGGGATTCCCTGTAGATTTTACAAACCAACCCTGGTACGGCCAACCCTGGATGCCCACAGTGCCCTTTCAACCGCAGTGGCCATTCTGGCAGCCATGGGCTCCATATCCACAATAGCAACAACAGGGAATACCCACCACTCTGCTCGCAACTGGTGCACCTCAACCACCAATATTGCCATCAACGGCACCTTCTGCTGTTTCCCAACAAGGGACCGAAGAACAGGAGGAATTCTCGGACCCAAACGACCAGGCTGACATTCAGGTTTCATCTTTCTCACCGGATGGCACAATTATGCCTCCACCTCCCACCACAGCAGACAACTTCAGGATTTCTACAAGACAGTGGCCAGTTCGCTAGACATCTCTCTGGAAGAGGTCCAGGAATCTCACCATAAGCTAGTGGACATACTACACACGTCCACTTCATCCAAAATCGCCTTTCCCATGAATGTTGCGATTATGGACCCTGTGAAATCGCCTTGGCAAACCCCAGCAACGATTGCACTTGCCTGTAAAAGGTCTGATAAGAAGTATTACGTGCCGGCCAACGGCACTGAATTCCTTTCCTCACATCCAACGCCAAATTCGTTGGTTATCGATGCGGTGAACGAACAGGGTAAGCTATCATATGGGGTGTTTCTATAGTCTTGTTAAGACTGGAAACAGCTCGACCTGTTCGGCCGCAAAGCATACTCGGCTGCGACCTTACAATTGAGAATTGCCAACTATGAGGCCCTACTGGCAAAGTATGATCACAATAATTACGCATGTCTCTCAGAATTTATAAACTTTATTCCAGAAGACAAAAAGGATCAGTACAAAGCACTCATCACAGAGGGCCACCTTATCACCAGAACAGCGCTACAAGCTGCCCTTGACTCCGCTGATTCCACAGTGAGATCCATCGCAACAGGAGAGCCTCCTCATTTCATCTGTCCGGTTTCCCAAAGCCAGTGCAGACCACTGTAGAATACTTACTGTTCAAAGGCTCCAAACTCTTCGCGGACAAAACGGACAAGTTATTGCATATCCTG